AGCGAAAAATGGTATGTACTTAGTTTTCTTACTAGATTTATAAAATACTACTATTTATTTTAAGACAAACGGAACATATATTTCAAAAATAATCCATTGTTGCTCTTAAGGAGGTATATCGGGGTCCGAGGGAAGTGAGGAGCGCAGGGGGGTCCCATGCTTTTCTTATGGGACTGAAACCCTCTGCCAATTTGAAAAAATTAAATTCTATTGAAATTATTTGCGATAAACATTATCTATATAGCAAAGAAATCTACTCATATGCACATAGCATACATATTGACTAATTAACAACATAAAAATATCATATTTAAGTAGTTTTAAATTATATTTAATGAACGCATAAAGACTATGTAGATGTGGCAACAGCGCTAATAATTGACTAGCAGTTGTACACACTGCGAACCTACAGACCTCGGACATCGGAGATATTGCGCGTCAAATTCGGGTAAAGATGCGTACGCGTTCAAAAATGTATTGTGTGTAAACTATGTACAATATAATTATTATATATAGCAAATATATCGTATTATCCTCGCGAAGATTTGTATCCTTTATTTAAAATCCGTAAATCATGTGAACTGGTAAAACAACGAGAATTATGTTAATTTAGTTCTAAAGAAATGAAATGACACTCGCGCCCATCTCTCGTCCAAGTCAAAGAAAATGTTGGATGCAATTTTGAAGGTTCTGTGATAGAAATTACATTATTACTCACTGTTCGTGTTTTTAATCTCTATTTTAGTAATGTTACAAAAGTTTTGCAACTATAACTAATTTTTTAGATATAAAGTTTGCTGAGAAATATTTATGTTCCTTTGTTATTCCGTACAAATGCTTTTATCTCAAGTATTACTAATTATATTAATCAAGTAAAGAAAACTTTATGTAACCCTAAATATTGCTGGGTAATGATTACGATGTTTTTATAAACCATTAAATATATTAAAAGGATTTATCAACTGTATTTTTTATTCCAATAAATATATCACAGCTTCCTAGTCTTTTTTAATTAATCTAGTTTTTTAAAAACATTACAAAAAATCATCTGTTGTGGATAATTTATTGTTGATAACAATGTACATGGGATTTAGGAAAAATGTATATGTTTGAAATCAATTTCGTTTTTATCAAGTCTTTCAAATGTATTCCCTCCTTGCTGTCAGCTGATTGCGACGTTGCCACATTAATCCTCAAGTCAGACAGAAATGCAATTATTGGTTTCTGTTTCTAATTAATACAGCTGTACTATGTTCAAAACTTACATTAGTTTTACATCAAAAATAAGATAATACTGTATACTATCTATGGAAAAGTTTTGTTTCACAATTTCTACATTTTTTTCTCAGTTATGGGCAAAAAAAGAGCCGCACCGTCCATCTTCGCCATATAAACCTATGTTAAAATGAACAACTTTCAACAACAATTTCTCAAAATCTAGATTAAAAAAAAAATTTCAAGAACATCTGTGCATTTGAACCCGATATACCTCCTTAAGTCAATAGAAGATATAGATATGTTTTACAATGACTACTAAAGAAATATAAAGTAACACTAAAACTTTTTGTACATAACCTCGAATTGGACTTGTATTAAAAAGCTAAGAAAACTAAACATGCCTTTGGCAATTTAGATATGAAACCCCTGGCACTTTTATTTCTAATTTTAGTATAAATTATCGCCCATTTACTGCATAAATTCAATAACCCGCAAAGAGAAGCGTTCCATGATATACTTTCATACGTTGGACTGAAGCCAATGAGTCCGGCCAATATGCTGGAAGATCCACTGGCGCCGTTTATCTAAAAGCGATAACTGGTCGGAAAATGCACTTTGTTGGTGTCTGAGGAATCGAGTTATTCCCAATCTGAGTTATGTATCATTGTCAGCACACCTTTCTAATGAACGTTGCGGCCATAGATTTATGACCATTCTTGGAGACATTTTCCCAAATTGATTGTTGCTTACGTCGACATTTCTCCTATTAGTCTTGTAAAACCCACAATGGGACAGAAAGGAATGCCAATTAATCAACTGCATCGATCAGCAGTGAAACAATTCAGTTGAAAAAGTAAAGAATAAGTTTCAATCATAATTTAAAGATGGTTTGTCATATTTGTACAAATATTTATCTTCAGTGACTTGCTGCAATAAAAAGATCAAGCAAGAACAAATTATTTAAGACATTGAAACACGACAAACAACTGGACTACATTTCGCCAGTTCAGTCCAATACAGTAATTAATTTAAACCTCCCTAAAGACAAATATATAGCTCTTTAAACCCAATAAACTACCATCTAAAACCTCGCCGGTAGGGGTCGCCTTTGTCCTTATCTTTACGGGCGCTCTTGATGTTTTTATGACTTAGGATAAAACACACACTAGATGCAATTTCTCACAATGTTTATATCTGTCGGTGGCTCAGCTGAGATTAAGCGATAGTTTTCCTTTAATCCGTAATGGGTTAGAAAAGATCGCCGCAGTTCGATGGCTTGAGTTCGGAACGTGATTCCGGTGTCAATCACATCCCTGGAAGCGCTCCTGTGTCACTTCCGGCCATACTCAAGGAGCAGCGTAAACTTTATCTCTACAAGAACGATGATGTTCTTTTGAAATTGGATTTTAAAATGAAATGAAGGCATATCTGGTACGTTGTTACGGAATGTCTGTACAAGGCGTTTCATGATGAACTTGTACATACTGCAACATATCTTTTAAGCATAAGTAGAAGCTGATTTATCCTAAAAAATATCTGATTTAAATAGGCGCTAGAAAGGTCGTGGTAAAAAATATTTTGCTAAAGGTGTGGTTAAAAAAATGTTTACTCTAGCAAAAGTTGTCGCGGTTATTAGGTTGTCAACAGTCAAGAAATATCCTTTTTTTACTTCAAATAATTGAGTTATTTTTAACCATGAATAATATCTTTCTATTACCTTTAGTATGAAAAATATTAAAAAATGTACCTATTGTGACGTACTTTTCCTCGGTTCTCTCTCTATGGATCTTTGGGTGTAAATTTTATTACTTTTAACTATGGTGTGTACACCCCCTGTAATTTATTTTTTCGGAACGGTCTCCTATTCCTCGGACTGGACTCTAAACGGTAATGTTATTTAATAACTTATATAGTCGGTTTTATTCTCGGGCGCCAGTTTCCCTAAATTTGAGGTGGGGGAAACTCCACGTATCCCTTACCCTCGGTTTAGAGTAAAGTGCACAGGTAGCTACAGTGAAGAAAATTAATTCCAGGGGTCAATGAATTTCTTTTAGGAGAAAACGGCAGAGAGTTGGGCAGAGAGTAGTTTTCTCAGTGTAGTTTTATTTTAAATATGAAATTTAACGGGAGCTCTACAAAACGATATCAGCGTTTTTGCTGGTTCGGAATGTTATCGTTTTACCTCGACGGTGAAAGAAATAAACCTATTAAGTTTTACTAGATTTATTCACACAGGGAAAATATTAATACTTATTACAAATACATATAGTGTCAATTTTTATTCCTACCCACTACTAAACGACTGGAATTATTTACAAGTTTCTTAACAATAATTATATACAAATTCAGTGTGAAAAGAGACAAAATTAAAAAAAAAGTCATAACTCTGGGTTTTTTACCATTTTACTTATCACCTTAGAAAAGAAATAAATATTTGCAAACGGGATCGAAATAAAATATTTATTACTCTACAATCGTAGACGGTTTTTATGTACAAAGGAAAAGGTGATTTTAGACGGTCCGATTAAAATATTTATAGACGTTTTTACTGGTCCCCGCTGATTCTGAAAATAAACCAAAATTTATTCGGAATTATTTCGGATTTATTTTAAACAGGCGGGCGGTCAAATATCGGTATAATGGCCTAGCAAGTTATTCGGAATTAGTAAGCGGAATGCGGTAAGCGGTAAGCGATAGCAATAACCAGCGAAGAAAGCCCAAGCGGTGCAAGGCGGAAAGAAAGGATGGTGAAACGGGATCCGAAGTATCTCGCCTTACAATTCGTACTAGCCTTTAAGCTTTATACGTCCTGGTGGCCGATGGTGTCGGACTCTCTGTATACAACGCTTCTCGGTCTGATGGGTATTCACGCCGACCAGGGAGAAGCGTACGGATACTATATGGAACGACCCGGAGATTGGGTGGACACGCCGAACCTCTAGGTCTTGGTTCACATATCCCCTATTACCCAGCGTACATCAAGGTGCGGGACACCAAGCAACGCTGTAGCAAACACGACGGCTTCGTCAGGATTGGGTTTAACACGCCGAATCCAACGATTGCACTGTCGTGCGGGTTGAGACGGACGGTGGAATTTGTGTGTGGGTTACCAAGAATATTCTTCTCGGGCCCACAGTAATTCCACACTTAAAGTGTACAAATCTTTTCGGACTTGTACCCGGTTGGAACGGATAATAATAAGGAAAATAATTCTTACTAGGTTCACTGGTTATTCTGGGCTGGCTTCGGTGGAGAGTTCTTGCTGGCAGTGGACGTCTGTTCGGTGTTGATTGACCGGACCGGATTGACACCGGTCGTGGTGGGACCTCCACGTGACCAACGGCTTGTCAGAGTGGGGTATCGGCCGGTCGGACCCGCGAGCGGATATTTGATATATATGTAGAAAAATCAATAATTCTCGCCGCCGGAGTAAAACAATCCGAAATAAAAAGAAATATCTTTAAATCCAGACATAATAAAATCGAAAATAAAACAGGTTCATTACACTATCCATCGTAAGAAAGTGAATTGTTCTATTACAGTAAACAATCTTTTAGTAAACTTGTCATATGATACCGTAATCCGAAGAAGAAAAACATCTATTACAATATAGACTATCTCGGCAAACTTCTTATTCTGTCGATTTCCCACAGTCAAATTTTGGCCAAGCTAAAAATGACGATGCAGAACACCTTCCATACCAATTTTTATGACTGCTATAGAATGTTACTAAATACTATCTCTAATATCTTAATTAACACCTAACTTTTGTTTCTTTTCAGTTGTCAATGATAGTTGAAAACCGCTCCAGAGGTCCACAAGATGGACGCCAGTTCATTCATGTAAGTTGTAGCAAAAATAAGCTGTAGATTTTAATTACACTTTAGAAATAATTGTTCAATAATTCATTTACACAACAAATAAAGCGAAAATAGCGTAGTAAGACAACTAAGAGCAAACTAGATCCCAAGGTTGAAGTTTCATAACCTGAATAGGTATAATGAAAATATCATAAAAAAACAAATTAAAAATATTCTAACAAATTCTTTCTGTTGAGGTGTAGACTACAGTAATTTTTTTTAGGGGAATAGAATAATTAAAGTACTCAAAGATTCACGCCATCCAAATAATCATACGTATTAAAAATAATTTAGGTACTTACCAAATAGCAAAATTCAGTAATTTTTAAACGCACAAGTACAAAACAAACTATAACATATGCTCAGAATGTCCACCACCACTTTCTATGCACGCACGACACCTTCGAATCCAATATTCGCGCACTCGCAGGAAAACACCTCAAGAAAAGGAAATAGTGTTACGCAAAAAAACAGTCAGACACGGTCCAATTCCAGATACCAACTGAATTGCGTATTACTGGACAGCTTAGTACCTTGTGTTATCTGCCGCGCCGTTGTCACATTGCTCGGTATGAATTTTATTGAATATTAAATTTATTACAACGCTAATTATTTTTTAGAATTAAACACAAAAAGTGATAAATTTGTATTTTATGGTATTCTGTGCACGCATTTATGTCAATATTCCTTGAATTTAATTTTTGTACATCATTTTGATAATTTTTTTCTCGGAAATAGTTGAGTTTAGGACCCATGTCATATAAAGTTTTTTGTTTATTTTAGTGTATTCTATCTTCTGTTAAAATTAAGGTAGTCAAACTTCTATTACTCTGTATAGATTCACAACTTATTAGAAATAGAATTGGTATCACCAATGGCATTATAAAATACTTACAGATGTAGAGAAACAGTGTCTTAAGTCTTTAAATACGCTCTTCCAGGTAGCTTCAGCTAATTGATTTATATGATTCAAATGTTTTTTTGATCCATTATTACTTCTTACGTGTTGCAAATATACAGGGTGTTCCTAAATAAGTGTCGCAACGGAAAACCGTAAATTCCTCCTGAAAAAAGAAACATTTTTTTCCTCTTCCATTTTTCTCTCCGGGCTTTCGTTTTCGAGATACACGGTGTCAAAACTTTAATTTTTTTTTAGTTTTTCGCCAATATCTTAGGAATCGTTTGAACTACAGGACTGAGCTTTTGTACACACATTACCACTATTAATAGCTACTTTTTCGCACCCTTCTCGAATTCATTGGACGTGCCAGTGGTGGAGATTTTAAGGTATCGTAAGGGTTTTTCCCCCCCTAAATTTTACGCCACTGGAAAAATTGACTTTTGACAGCAAATTCTAAAGCGCCAATGAATTTTACACAATAAGAGTTCTCTTGGTTCATTGCTCTAAAGTCAACCGTTTTCAAGAAAAATGACTTTTTATGAACAAAAGCAAACATTTTGCTAACGTTTCGAAAATTTTTTACATTTTGCATTTTGCATTTTGAACATTTTGCAAGTGCAAGTAACTGAACAGAACATCCGGAGAACGAAATGCATCGTTTATGAAATCCATGTCAATACTATCGAAAAGTTGACCGATAGAGGTGAAGCCGCAGCGGCAGAAAGAAACATGATTAGAAGATGTAATGCGTGCATTCAAGCCAACGGACGTAATTTTGAACAGTTTCTGTAAATTTTACTCGCCAAATTGATAAAAAAAAGTTAAAATCCTATCTGTTGTTAAATTTCGTTAAAATTGTTAATTATTACTACCTATTTTTTGAATTACAAAAGATTTTCGAAACGTTAGCAAAATGTTTGCTTTTGTTCATAAAAAGTCATTTTTCTTGAAAACGGTTGACTTTAGAGCAATGAACCAAGAGAACTCTTATTGTGTAAAATTCATTGGCGCTTTAGAATTTGCTGTCAAAAGTCAATTTTTCCAGTGGCGTAAAATTTAGGGGGGGAAAAACCCTTACGATACCTTAAAATCTCCACCACTGGCACGTCCAATGAATTCGAGAAGGGTGCGAAAAAGTAGCTATTAATAGTGGTAATGTGTGTACAAAAGCTTAGTCCTGTAGTTCAAACGATTCCTAAGATATTGGCGAAAAACTAAAAAAAAAATTAAAGTTTTGACGCCGTGTATCTCGAAAACGAAAGCCCGGAGAGAAAAATGGAAGGGGAAAAAATGTTTCTTTTTTCAAGAGGAATCTACAGTTTTCCGTTGCGACACTTATTTAGGAACACCCTGTATAGCAATACAAAATTAATCGTTTTAACATACGGCGAAGCATGACAAAACGCATCGTCAATTTCTCGTTTCTTTACAGAACGTTTTCCGAATAGACATGTCAAATTCTGCTACCTTTATCGAAAAATAACAGCGATATCTGGTATCTCTAATGCGAGAATATTTGAATTCACTTTAATCTCGGCCAGGCTTCCCATTTTGTACACGTTTCCTCTACTTAATTTCTTGTAATGTTTGTACACTTTTTTCATATTAGCTTTGCGGAAAACCGGCATTTAGACATGCCACACTTCGACATACCCCAGGATGACTAAAATTCTTATTCAGCGGAGCAACATTTGACCTTTACAGCGCTTGCTTTGTTTGGGATTCCTGCACAGCCTGCAAATTGCTCTAATTTAGGACATAATGAACATACAAACTCACTTTCGAGGTCCTGATAATTATTTTAGTAATTAAATAAAGTTATCTTGTATCTCACATCACCAGGTACCCGAGTTACTTATATTGTGGAGGGTAGCAAGTACGTAAGTTTAATTTCGAGAAATAATTAGTAGGAATGATATATAGATATAAAATAATAGTAATTATGCCAACTTTATGAGTAAAACTATGAATGAGTTGGCTTATTTTCTTGTCAAGAAAACGTAATAAATGGGTGTCTGTTTTAATCGTTTGAAGCTCTAATCTGGAAATTAATTTTAATTAGAAAAAACTCTGTAGGGGGAAAGAGAGAATTCTTTTGGATGCTTTTAATTTAAAAATATATAACTTTCCCTGAAAGGAGTTGAGCCATTTGGACTGACATGGCTAATCCTTCTTTTTTAATAGTCTCCATATCTAAATTCGGGATTTCGCTGAGCCCAAGAAGGGTTGTTGATAGAAATAAGTGCAACTAATGACTCACTTTCTTCCTTAATGGAGGTTATTCGTTTAAGAAATTTCTACAATAGTATTCAGATAAGATGGCCAAAAATACTCAAGGGAGAGGCATTACTATATCCCAGAGTTAATTTGTTGAAAAATTTTTAGGTGATCAGCGTTATGTGTAATTTTTATTAAAAAAAAAATGATTTAATTTTCAATAAAAGAAGTTTGATAGGTTTATTTAACGTCAAATATATAAAAACATACGATATGTAAAAACGGTACAAATTTAGTTCTGATCTCTGAAATTGTTTTGAATCTGTATCATTCTGTCTGTATCATTTTTTTTGTTAAATACAAATACTAAAGAGAAAAGGCGGTTAGAATGTTACTTGAATATTTATATACAGGGTGTTCTGTTCTGATTTTTAGCTGGTTTTGTTCCCTAAAATTCTCAGAAATTCGACACCAGTGGGTATTTCGATCGCTACTTAATTAAAAAAATGAACTATTGTCAGCTTCCTACTTTTGTTAACTTTCTAAAATGGTGGAAATTTGATATAAATTAGTGGCATTCCTAATATTGTTTAGAATTTAATTGTTAACATCGGTCTATTTCCACAAGTTTTAATTTAAAAAATGCACCCAGGATTGTACTTGGCAATATTTCTTTTCATCCCCAATTTTTCAAAGAACATATTTTTATATTCAATTTAATGTAACCACTCACCGTCAAAAGCCGCATTTTCCCGTAACGATCGATACTTCATTATTTCCGAACGTTTCTGTGAAATATTTCAGGCTTGTTTTGCCCGAAATGATTTCGTTTAAAAGCAACGTCCGCGTGAGTGAACTGTGGCAATAACGTTAGTTTTGCATTCCTTCACCAGCCTCTATGATCGCCAATGTAGACTAGACGAAGCAAATAAAAATATGCTCGCGACCGACGACTATTAAAACTTTCGACAGTGCCAAAGCGGCGCTATAAAGCTGGGGGCTTGGCGAGTGTATCGCTGTTAACTAGACGAGAAATTAGCTTCGCGACGACTTTGACCTTATTAACGACCTAAAATGTATGTGAGTTGCGTTCAATAAACAACAATTACTGATTAATATAATTTGCACAGGAAAGAATGTTTTTAGGACTCCAGAAAACATTTGCGCAATTATGTTATTCAAAATATTAATATTATATTAACTGAAATATAATTTTTTACTTAAAAATTTCTCATATCATGAAATATCAACCGTCATCGCATTAGTACGTCATTTCCACCAATACCACTTTTATAATTGATGAAAAGGAACAATAACGTTTAGAAAATCAAAGCCTTTCAGCCAGTGGATGTTCAAATGCGATTCCATTTCAAGAGGTTTAAGCGAGGCTGATGAAGTTATATTTATGGACCAGCCTTTCAGTAGGTTTTAAAATTTCTCAAACAAAGGGGTTGCTAACAAATTCTGTTAGGTTCCTCTGTAAAGAGCTGAAATCGTCGTTTATTAAATTTTGGAAAATAAGCAAATTAATGTTACTTTATGTTACCATTTTTAAATACACCGCTTTCCAAACACAATTGTAACATATTTTTAATTAATTTCTGGTAAATGTCAAGTTTTTACATTGTTTTGCCAATTTTGGAACTCAGCTCTCGAAAAAAAACGTTGATACTCGATTACGAAATGCTGCTGAGTCCTCGAATGCAAAAGTAGCACTTCGCAATCTGAAATTAAACGCAACTGTTTCCTGGATGGTTTTCTGTGCTTGAACAATTTTAAATAGTTTTCCCCTGTTCTAGTATAAAGTATACATTTTAGCGCTGCAGCTGCGGGCATGCCGGCTATTTCTTCGGGATTTATAGAA